CGTGCTACCTTGTGCTGGCCCTGTGGATATGGTGATAATCAGGCTGTCCCAGGAAGGAGACAGGGATGTCAGCAGGGCACACATAGTGTTCCTGTGTGAGGAGGGGCACATACAGGGCTGTGGGAGGCTGGGAAGACTGCAGCCAACCTGGGGCAGAGGGGAGGGTATGGGGGGTATCAGGAGGACGTAGCCAGACAAGGGATAGCAAGCTCTGAAAAGGCCAGATAGGAGGAATAGTAGGGGCCAATCTTGGTCATGTGGCTGGTAAAAAATTTACTCCACGCCAGGCATGGTAGCACATGCCTATAATCCCAGTACTCTGGGAGGGTGAGGCAGGAGGATCACAGGTTCATAAATGTAGCCAGCTTGATAAATTTAGCAACTTAGGTAGACCCTGTATCTGGATTATTTTTTACATGGGGGAGATGGCAATATAGCTCAGGAGGAAGATCCTGGGTTCAATTCTCAGTCCAGGTGGGGGTGGGGCACAAAGTGAGAGAAAGAAGGAAGAGAAGGGAGGGGAGAAGAGGGAAGGGATGTTCATTTCAGCAACAGGAAAGAGTGTGTGGTAGAGGGGAGGGGCCCACTGCAGGAGGCCAGGGAGAGCGTGGATTATGGATTGGCTGAGGGCAAAGCTGTAAGAGGCCCTGGAGGAGTATTAGAAGCAGGTTATGGGGCTGGGGGTTTAGCTCAGGAGCTGGGGATTTAGCTCAGCGGTACAGTGCCTGCCTGGCAAGCGCAAGGTCAAGAGTTTGATCCCCAGTACCGGAAGGAAAAAAAAAAAAGAAGCAGGGTAGGCTGGTGAGGAGGTCAGTGTGGTGGAGCTGGGCCTGTCCAGCCTGGCTGACCCCCCCTGGAGACAGACAGGAGCCGCTAGCTGTCTCCAGCAGAGGCAGAGACCGTGGCCTTGGCAGCTTCTGTTTTGTTTTGTTTTTTTTTTTTTTTTTGGTTTTTCTCCGGCACCGGGAACCGAACTCACGACCTTGCGCTTGCCAGGCAGGCACTTTGCCGCTGAACTAAATCCCCAGCCCCGGCAGCTTCTGGTAACTGAAGCAGTGGGAGTGGGTGAGTGCTCTCCCTGGGAGAACAGAAAGAGGTTTGCCTCCCAGGGGAGCCTCCAAGAGTTAGGGCCAGGATGAGCATTCACCTGGGGGAAAGGAGGGTCCAGAGCCAGGATCAGTCAGTCCTGGCTGACGGGTGACCCCACAGTTCCTCTTCCCTCTTTCCAGACTGAAGTGGAATTTCCATTCCTGGTGGGCATGATGAGATGACCGAGGAGGGGCGGCAGAGGACACAGGGAGATCGGTGCCAGGGTCGGGGAGTCCTGAGAGGGGAACATGAAGGTAGGGTAGCCTGGCTGTGGGTTTCCACTCCCAGAACCTATAGCTTGGGTCCTTGCGGTGATGTACTGCATGCTGTTCCAGACACACTGCAGCAAAGTTGTTACTTCCTTTGAAAGACTCTGAGACTGAGGCCCACGGAAGAGCCCAGAGTGGCCCCTGCCACAAAGCAACTCAGTGGCCAGGGCAAGATGAGTCCAGGTTCCTCCTTTCTGCCTGGGGGTGTTGGGGCAGGTGCGGTGGCTGATGGGACAGTAGAAACTCCAATCATGGGGGTGCTGAGTGAGATCTGGCTGCCTGGCTATGGGCTCTGGCCTTCTGCCCTCTCTGGAAGGCTGAGAACATAGGAATAATACATGGCCATGCAACGCTCCCTTACTTTTGTGGAATTTAGAAAGCTGAGTGCCCCCACACCCCCCATGCCATGCCTCCCCTGTGGGAGCTAAGCTGAGTGCAACAGTATCCCCACTTGACACTGTCCTGGGCCCTGGGCTTGGTCTGGCTGGAGGCCTCCCAGCAACTGTACGACTGTGCTGTGTATGTGCCTCCCTGGGGAGACACTGGGGCAGACTGCACCAGACAGTTCCCAGCAATTAACGGGCTCCTGGTCATTCTGTATTCTCAGCAAGCCCCTAAGGAACCTTTCCCCGGCCTTGGGGGCTATAATCTGTGGCTGGTTGGCATTTGGTGGGGTTATTGAGGGAGGGAATGGGAGCTAGGCAGATGCCCCGGGTGAGTCCCAGAGGTAGGAGTAGTGAGGCAGGCCTAGAGCCCAGCCAGTCCATATGGTATGGTTTAGAGCATCGCACCTCAAGAACTCAGCTCACAGGCCTCAGCTTAACATCGCCGTCAGGAAGGAGGTCCTCCACCTCCCAATACCACAGAGGTGTCCTCAGGCTCCCCTTCCTGTGTCCATCACAACCCCAGCTCAGGAGCACTGGAGCCCGCTGGCTGCCGGCGCCAGCTAGCATCTCCTCCAAAGGGCCAGACAGTGAGTACTTGGGGCTTTGTGTGCCATATGGTCTCTGTGGCAACCACTCAACTCTGCAGTTCCAGCTAAAGCAAACAAGGCGTAAATGACTGACTGCGGCTGTGTCCAATAAAGCATTATTTATGGACATTGAAATTTGACTTTCATATAATTTCCCTGTGGCACAGGTATTCTTGTTTTGATTTTGTCTCTCAGCTGTTTAAAAATGTAAAAACCATCTTTAGCTTTCAAGCTATGCAAAATACAGGCTGTAGGTCGGATTTGGTGAGCCTATGTGTTACAGTTTCCCAACCCCTGTGTTACAGCAAGGCCTCTGGGGAGAATTCTGGCTCTGCTGTGTAACCTTCGGTAACTGGCTAAATCTTTCTGTGCTTCAGCTTGTGAGTGTGTGTGTGTGTGTGTGTGTGTGTGTGTGTGTGTGTGTGTTTGGTCCTAAGGATCAAACCCAGGAGCACTCTACCACTGCACTACAACTGTAACAATTTTATTTTTTACTTTGAGACAAGGTCACTAAGTTTCCCAAGTAGGACCCAACCGTCAGCCCTTCTTGCCTCAGCCTCCCTCAGTGCTGGGACTGCAGTCTTGTTCTGCTCTGCCCAACTTGGGCTTCGTATTTTTCGTCTGTCCAATGAAGGTGGAAAGGAAAATACTTTGGGAATGTAAAATGGTATCGCCACTTTGGAAAATAGTTTGGCACTTCCTCAAAATGTCAAATATAAGAGTTACCATATGACCCAACAAATCGACCACAAAGAATGTACCCAGGAGAGGCTGGGGATTCAGCTCAGCGGCACAGCACCTGCCTGGCAAGCGCAAGGTCATGAGTTCGATTCCCGGTACCAGAAAAAAAAAAACCAAAAACAACAAAAAAACCCAAACAAACACAAGAATGTACCCAGGAGAAATGAAAAGATATGTCTACACAAAAACACATTCGTAGTAGTGTTATTCATAACAACCAAAAAGTGGTAACAACCCATAACGTCCATCAGCTGATGAGAGGATAAACAAAATGTGGGATAGCCTTACAATTGAATACTATTTGGCCATAAAAGGAATTAAGTACTGACACATGTACAACCTGGATGATCTTTGAAAACATAATGCTAAGCAAAAGAAGCAGTACACAAAAGGCCACATATTACACGATTCCATTTATATGAAATTGCTAGACTAGGCCCATCTGTAGAGATAGAAAGTGGCTTAGCGGTTGCTAGAGCCTCTAAGGGTAGTCTGGGCTGAACAGAGGTATGACTGCTAATGGGCATGGGAGTTTTGTTGGGCTGATGGAGATATTTTGGAATTAAGTAGTGGTAATGGTATATGATTTGGTGAATGTACTAAAAATTGAATATATTAAAAAGAGTTGTACATTCTAAAAGGGTGAACTTTATGGCATGTGAGTTATATCTTAATAAAAATAACATTGATAATGTTTCCTTCCTGAGGTTGTTTTTTGGTAATGTTAATGCAGGAAAAGCACTTGGAACGGTCCTCACCACCCCCTTACTGTCCTGGGAAGCCACCAGATCTGTCCTCTTTCCACGGGCCTGGCTTTGAGTCCTGGAGTCCCACAGACCAGGGCTTGAACTTATCTATGACATGGAATCATCTTCATAATAACTGCCTCATAGCTGGTGGACAGAAGAAGGTGCCTGACATTCAGAGTGCAAGTCCACTAAGCCTATTCTACCAGGTCACAGGAGCCAAGTCACCTGGCTGGTCTTCAGGGTGCCAGGCAGGGCTGGGACAGCAGCAGTTCGACCCTTAAACACCTCCCACTGCTCCCCCAGCCTCCCATGGCCCTACCAGGTAGGGCTTTCAGGCCTAGAGACTGAACACCTCAGGCCCTGGAGCAGATGTCCAGTTACACTGCCCATGGCTGTGTGACAGCAGGCCAGGCATCCCCCTTTGTTCTCTGAGCCTCAGTTTGTTCAACTGTCAAATGGGTTTGGGACACCACACCTGCCATATCAGGTGGTTGAGACCGTGAGATAGGACAGTGAACATAAGCATTTGCCCAATGCCTGCTGTATTTTCAGTGCTCGGTGCATGCCAGCTTTTATGATAATATGTTTTACAAGATTTATTTTAAAGTCTACTATTTCCAGGCACTGCTCCAGTTACAGGGAGACAGCAGAGAATCAAATAGACAAAAATCTTTGCCTTCATAAAACATAATGGGGTAGGCGGACAAGAAACAAACGGAAAGTAAATATGGTTAAAAACATGACTGAGAAAATAATATGAGAGGGAACTTAGAGAATGTGAGAAGGGGCCCCAGTTTCATACAAGATTTTGGAGAAAGAGTCCTTGGAAAAAGGCATTTGAGCAAAGACCTGAAAAGAGGAAGGGAAAGAGGGAGTCATGCAGGTTTCTAAGGGAAGAGCATCCCAGGCAGAGGAAACAGCCGCATGCTAGGCAAGTGCAAGCAATACGGAAGAGGTCAGTGCAGTTGGAAGGGAAAGAGTAGGGAGGATGGGGCCATGTGCCGACGGCCCAGGACAGGCCTTGGGGACCTGCAAGGGTGGCCCTGGCTCCAGACAGGATCACTCCAGGGCTTTGAACAGATCATGACGCATGTGGACTTAGGCTACAATAGCATGGGCAGTGCTGGGTTGGACTCCTTGCCCTTCCCCTGCCTTACAGCTCTCTGCTTCCTCCCACAGGACCAGCTGGGGGCCTCCATGGGCGCTTGAGAGCCAGGCACCAGGGCTGTGGGACGAGCATGGTGAGACACCAGCCCCTGCAGTACTATGAGCCACAGCTGTGCCTCTCTTGCCTCACAGGCATCTACGGCTGCCGCTGGAAGCGCTACCAGCGCTCCCATGATGATACTACACCGGTGAGCTTTCCAGGGGTGGAGTCCAAGGGATCCTGTGGGCCCCAGCAAACCCACAGGCCAGGGCGATGGGAAGTGAGCTGACCCTCTGCTGGGTGGCTCTGGATGGGCCAATGGGACTTCTGGGTTTCAGTTTCTCCCTCTTCAAAGCGGGGCTATACTATTTCCTCAATCTGCTTGGCCAGGTGGGCAGGCGAGGAGCCCATCCCATCATGGATGTGGCTGGTTGTTGATGCTTCTCTGACAGTATGGGGACAGGGATGCTCCAGAGCTCTGGGGCTCTCCAGGAAGAAAGGGTCACCCCAAGGTGAGCAGAAGCTCCCAGCTTCCAGACCTGGCACATCCGGAAGGGCGGGCAGGTGGTGGCAGGAGGGTGAGACAGGGGGCCTGGCCATCCCGGAGCCTGGGAGGCAGCAGGGCCATGGCCTGGCGGCAGGGCCCAGTCATCTGAGCCAGCAGCCTGCCAGAGCTGGCAGCAGGTGTGAGCGGGATAAAGAAGGCCTCCGTTAGTGCTGGGCTCCCCAGCCAGGCCCGAGCTGCGCTGCCCTCCCTGGGGCACGATCAGCTGGTGGATCTAGTTTCTTCTCTGAAGGAACCCAATTCCTGTGTGGTGTTTATCTAAAAGCTTTGCTGCCTAGAGAACAGCTTTCCTCCTCCCTCCTGCTTGTCTGAACAAAGAAGCTAGCCTCCTAATTCAACCATCTCCCGAACTTGCTGGAGTGGCCGGGGGAGGGCAGGACTGAGGTCAGAGGCTAAGTAGGCCGGGCTGTCTGGGCTGAGATGTCGGGGTAGCTTGTCTGCCTGACCACTCTCTTCTGCCTGTGCTGGTGAGGGGTGGAGCCCTAGACTGAGGCAGGGGCGGGGGCTCATGACCCCTGAATGGTGAGGGGCAGAGAACACCAGGGTAGGCACCAGGCTGATTCCTTGCCATGTCCTCATTCCCAGCACAGAGGCAGCAACATGGGCAAACTTAGCCAAAGCGGAAGTCCGGTCTCCCCACCCTGGCCCCAGCGTGGGATGGCCTCCGGGTGACAGCACACCCTGTGAAGTGACCAGCACAGTGCCAGCTGTGACTGGCCGTTAGGATGAATCATTCTAGCTGCCTGGGCCTCAGCTTCTCCATCTCTGGAGTGAGAGAAGGCTGGATGAATGACTTCAGAGTCCTGGGGCCACTCTTCCGTGCTGCAGCTGCTGCCCAGGGGCTGGGGACAGGGAGCAGGCCTGCTTGGCCTGGCCCTCCTGTCTGAGCAGGCAGGAGTCTGGCTGTGACTGGCATCTGTGTGTCGTGGGAGCCAGTGCAGAGCTGACACATGCTGCTGTTCACCCCAGGAGGCCGTGGGGAGACAGAAGCCAGGGAAGGTAGTGACTAGGGCAGGGTCACAGTCACGAGGGACAGAGAACAGATTGTGGGTGCAACTGCTTTTGGGGTAAATGCGGATGGGATGACCACTGAGGTAGAGGAGGAGAAAGGTGACTGAGCACCCAGGTAGAAAGCCCTGAAGCCACTGGTCAGACCCTTGAGGGAGGGAAGCGCATGTCGTGGGTGGCAGGAAGTGTGTGGGCCGTGACTGGGAACAGACTGAGGCTACCAGGGGCTGGGGTGCCCAGTATGGGGCCAAGGCTGCAGGAGCAGTGGGGGCCAAGAGCCAGGTGGGCTGGGAAGGAGAGCATGGCACTCCCTCTGCAGAGGGGCTGAGCTCACCTCAGGTAACCCAGCTCACAGCTGGGGATGCGCGTCCTCAGCACGCCCTCCTCTCCTCCTCTCCTCTCCTCCGCACACTTGCTTGCACATCCTTTCTCCTCTTCTTTCCCCTCCCCCACCACAGCTGGGCCAGGACAGGAGAGGGTTGCGGCTGTGTGGCCCGGCACAGTGAAGGGAACAGCAACGGCTGCTGCCCATGTCTCAAGGACAGAGTGACAGAGGGGGGCGCCATGACTCCTGCTGAGCAGACAGAGGCCCCTCTGAGCTGGGGAGTCATGGCAGGGAGAGGCCACCTTGGCCAGGAGCCTCTCCTCATGGCCACCTTCCTCCCTGACCCGCCCCTGTGGAGTAGCGCCGAGGAGCAAGGCTGTTCATTCCCATCCTCAGGCTGGGAGAGGCAGCGGGGTAGTGGTGAAAGTGAACCGAGTGCCCACTGAGTGCGGGGATTGCTCTGCGCTGTGTTTAATGTGTAGCCACTTCCTGAATGGAGAGGTCCGGGCTCAGAGCCGCCCCCTGCATGTGAGGCTTGGGCAGTTCTGATGGAGCTGGAGCCTGCGGAGGGTGGAGGCTGGGAGAGCTGGGTGTGTGGTGAAGATGGAGGGAGGGAGGGAGGGAGGGAGTTTGGGAAGCGATTTGTTGGAGAAGGAGCAGAAGCACCGGGGCACAGCCTGGGCGTGCTGGGATGCCAGGCTGGGGTCCCTCGGCAGAGCCCTGGGTGGGATCCAGCTTGGGGGGCCGAAGTGGACCCGAGGGAACCAGGAAGGGGCAGAGCCTGGAAGGTATCCTTTCCCCCAGGCCCCTCTTCTTCCGACCACTGACACTCCCGCCTCCTCCAGGCCTTGGCGTGCCCCTCCCCAGGAGGCACACTTGACCCCTCTGGAAACCAGAAACTAGGGAGCAGAGGTGAGGTGACCTCTTCTCCTGCCCCTGTGCTGAGGGCCTGGGGAGCCGACAGCAGGAGGCCGGCTCACTGACAGCAAGGAGGAGGAAGCCAGCGGCTTTTTATAACTGCAGATAATTAATCGGTTGTTGTCTGTGACTCATTACTCTAATACTGCCAATTAAGGCCTTGGTAGGACAGAAGGCTGTTCTCAGGCCGTCCCCACAGGGCCCCCTGAAGACTGTCTGCGGGAGGCAGCACAGTGTCAAAGCAGCTTCTCCGTGGAGAGAGGGATATAGGTTAGATGCCTGGGGGAACTTCCCAGCCAGAGGCACTGAAGCAGCAGACCAAGGTGGTCAGCGCTCCTGGGCTTCTTTTGTTTCTTTGGTGCATTTGTCTTTTGAAGGCTGCTACAAGCTTAATTGATCTTCTCCATCTTACAGATGGCCCTCTAAGAAGTGTGATTTATTCAACCCATGAGGGGCTGAAGGCACAGCCTGCACTGCTTCTGTTCATAGCCCCAGACTGTGTGCCTTCTTCTGTTTCATGCCAAATGGTCTTGTCTAGGATGCCTTGGTTACTTATGCACTCAATAAATCTCTCCTGGTACCGGCTCTGGGGTCACAGGTGTCTCAGACCTGGTTCTCCCCTCCCTTGAAGGGCTCCGAGGCTGGTGGGGTATAAACAGGAATGATACACCCAGACCATCCAGGGTGATCACCCAGAGGAGGCTTACGGTTAAGACTGAGCCTGTCTCCTGGGAGTGGGAAGTGTGCAGGGAGGGGCAGCTGTGTGTGTGTGTGTGTGTCGGGGGATTGGCTGGTGTTTGGGAACTGGAAGTAATTCAGCCCCGGTGGCCAGGCCCGAGGAGAGGGATGGCTGTGGCCAGGGTGCCTGAGCCTTGGTGCTGTGCTGTGCTGAGCAAGCTGGGCTTCAGCCTGTCAGACTTGAACTTGCAGGGAGCAGTGATAACGCGGTGGAGTCCTCTGGGGGCCCTGGCAGTGGGCGGGGCCAGAGAGCCAGATGAGGGGGCTGAGGCCTCAAGACAGGGAGTTACCCAGAGTGTAGGCAAGGGGAGGGGTGCAGAGACACCTAGAAGGTGTAATCAATGGACTGGCTAGGGATGGAGATGAGAGGAAGAAGTCTCCCAGGCTGACACCTGTCGGCTGGGAATTACAGCCTGGGTAGCTGGAGGCCATCCTGGAGACAGGAACCCCTGCTGTGCCCAGAAGTGAGTGGCGTCCAGGAAAAGCACACAGCAGAGTGGGTGGAACGGACAGCAAACTGCCACATACCTCCCTCCTATGATGGGATCACATGGGAGTCGCTGCCGCAGGGTCTCCCCTCCTCTGCCCCTCCACGCCAGCGGCACGGAGCTTCTCCCCATCCAGGATAATGCCCCCTTCCCAGCAGTGCCCTTGCACCCACTATTCCCCCTGCCTGGACTGTACTTCTCTCTCCTCTCTGCCTGTCACCTCAGGTCCCTGACTCCCCACCCCAAAACGGGCCACTCTCCTTTCTTGTTCTTCCCTGGCCCATCCCACCCTTCCTGTCCCCTGGCTGTCACAGCACTCTGGGCCTGTGCTGGCCATGACAGCTGGGATTGTTTTTGTCTCCACCAGACTCAGAAGTGTTTTGAGGCGCCCTGGCCAGGTTTGCTGAGTATGCCACACCATCGGAAGGGTGATAGAGTAGCTGAGTGGTGAGGAAGCTGGTTAGGAAAGGTGTCTGCCATCAGACCCACTGCACTGGGGAGACAGGGCCTCATAAGCTCTTGGGTGTGGTGATCTGGAGAAGGCAGGTGTATGTATAGTTGTGTAGATGGATGCCCCTGGCTGCGGTTGGCAGGGGAGGTGCTGACTCAGCTTATGGGACCTACCTGGCTACCCTTGGAGCTGGGATTGGGTTTGCAGGTGGGCGGGGAGATGTGAATTTCCCAGCTAGCTCCTTACTTCCTGTCCTACCAGCTTGTGAGTGGGATGTAGGGCAGAGAAGAGTGGATGTTCTTATGAATTAGGCCAGGCTTGGTGATAAAGCCACCTTTGAGGTAAGCTCCAGGGTGAGACTGGATTCAGCCAAATGCAACTGGGTGCTGCTGGCCAAGGAAGCTGCAGCCTGAACTAAGCCCTGCCTTCCCAGGGCTGCTGTAGAGCTCAAGTAAGCCGAGACCCTATGGTCTCAGCTTGCTTTCTTGGTAAGAGGAGATACAAATCTGTACCCTGAGATCCCTAGGAGATAACTGATAAGGATGTGCCCCTGGTCTTACACAAGAAGAGACCATTGTCCCAACCTAGTGGAGAAATCTGCCTTCCCTAACCAGCTCTCTCAGGTGTTTTGGGAAAAGAGAACCACAGGGGAGAGGGTGGAGCCTCTGGGCTTTTATTCCCCTTCTGAATGTGCAGGTCTGGCCTGGCAGGGTTG